AAACTGAGACTGTTCTGACATTCATAAATAGCAGAAATAGCATGTCAGAAATAGCACATCAGACAGAGTGAATTTGACCTGCCTGACCACATATTGAGCTGCTGCATCTTCCAGTAAAGATATCCCATGCATCAGCTAAGCTTTAGAAACTGCCCATGTGTGTGCTCCTAGTCCATGACAGAGGTAAATTGCTTCTGCTTGGCTTACTTTTGTCCGGGTAGAGCCATCCTGAAGGCTGATCATCTGAACCTGCAGCGTAGTGAGGGTAAAGTAAGGATAATAGTTTATTATAAGAACTCACTTTTTGAGTCACTGTAGTGATCATTGTGCCTGCTTTGCTCCTAGCGTGGATCCTTTTGTTCGTACTTTTGCCATTTTCAGCAAGCTCTTAAGAGTTTCCTTAACATACAATGTTCATTTGAAGCCAGTACGAAACTTCTCTTTTCCCCTTCCTCTTTACTCCTTTCCCTTTCCCACTTTCCTTTTCCCCCTTCCCTTTTCCCCTTCCTTTTCCCTTCCTCTTCATTTCCCCCTTCCACTTCTCTTTCTCTCCCCTTCCCTTTTCGTTTTTCAGTAATTAAATGACCATTATGTATCATTTTCAACATAAATGTCACAGTAGAGCTTTGGAGTCTCTTTGGTTTGAGTTAACAAAAAACTATATAGCACATAGTAGCTCTAAGCCAGCTGTCACCAGATGAAGTGTCGTTGCCACGTCACTGCTTACAGATACAGATTAAATCTCAATTAAAATTATGTCCTATTATTGTTCACCTTTCCAAAGAGTTTCAGCTCTGGTCAGACCCTGAATCACTGCCTTCTTCCACAGAAGTATTTTCTCAGTTTGGGGTACCCCAGTCTCTTCATTCTGACCGACCTGCTCTGCAGCATAGGAGCCTGTGCATGGCACGATAATCAGCGCCAGCCTCCTCAAGCCCGTCTCCCAGACTGCCTAGGAGGTTTGTGCAGTTTGCCTAGGTCAGGTCAAAGACTAGAGGCTGGGGAGAGCTGCTCAGTTTTTGTCCACTGGTACTGGAAAAAAGGATAACCTCCATGCCCTTCCTCTAGCTGCTGAACAGATGGGCTGTAGCGGCCCAACAGCAGGCCAGGAGGTAGCTGTGGGCTGGAGGAGGACAGCAGCCCTTCACCAGGTGGAAACAATTACAGGAAAAATCATCACGAGCCTCATTGGATGAGTTACTGCCGATAGTTCCCAGATAAGCTAATTTAATAATGTTGTGGCTTAATTAAGCCACATTCCTTTCATCCTGCCTGTCTGGAGGGATGCTATCAAATAGCTACAGCTCAGTGACAAACTGCTGAGAGGCAACTGTCCCGATACACTGTGTGTTGGGTACCAGGGAGACCTTCGGTCTAGAAGTTGTGAGGATGCGCATGGAAAGCTCACACTCGTGCAAGGTGAAGGTCCACAGAAGCCTGTAAGGAAGGTAGATCCTCAGAGGTGCTGTTCAGCTGTTGCCTTGTCATAGATATGTCAAAAATTTATAGCTATCAAATGTTTGACCCAATTCCCAGCTTCTAACATTCAGTGATCTGTGACAGCCTCAACCTTGACAGCAGAGGGGAGTAGTTAATCCTCTTTCGGCTTCTCTTGCAGCCCCCTTTCAAACACAAGAGTGACTTTGTTTTGAGAGTCCTGTGCTCTGGGGACTCCGCAGTCCCGAGCTAAGAGCTGTGGCTTTTGTTACAGGTAACAGGGTTGAAAAGGTAGACATGACAGTGATCAAATCATGTTGCCCAACACCCTCTGTGAATCTGGGCTTGTGCACTTTCCTGAGCGAAGCATGCATGAGAACTGAAAGTTGCCAGGTGACTCTAATATTTTAAAAGCTGGACAACCCCATTAAAGGCTGTAACAGATAAGTCTGCTAAAAGCTACTCCTTTTGAAAACCAGATTGAATCAAGTTAATTTCCCAGTAGATCCATATCTTAGTGGCTGAGCTTCCTACACAACTGTGCCTTATTTACAATGTTTGGTGCATGCTCATACGTACAGCTCCCTAGCAACTGCCTTGCTGAAAGTTATTCAGTCATTAAAATTATCAGTGGGGACCTCCTCTTACCTCTCATTATGTATAACGAGATTGCTGCTGTGCAACATTGATTAGACATGTCAACCTGGAGCTGGATGTCTGAAATAAGTATTGCTATTAAAATGCCTTTGCTAATGATCAACTGATGTGTCTATCATTTTGATAGATTTCTCTCCAGGAATGCAAAAGGCTAAAAAATGCAAGCATCACAGGGTTATAATATAATGTTCAGGGAAATGTATTGCATTTCCTGTGCATTAACCCCAAAGTATCAACTCCCCTGGCAAAATCATGCTGATGCCTGAAGCTTAGTGTGCAGTACAGAGTGCACTGAAATAGAGATCTATAATCTTGAATTGAGAACTTACTGTCTTGGGGAATTGGTTTCTGGAGTGTAATCCTGAGAGCAGGGTATCCCTCCCCTATGCCGCTTCGTTAGATGTGATTTAAAACTCCCATGATGTGGAAAAATGTTGAGGAGAGGTATTACAATATTTCTGAGTCTCCTTACCAGTAAATCATGGCAACATTCAACAAAATAGAAAAGGAGACTCAAACATTTTTCAAAAACATCTAATTCACCTGTGGAGCTCATTGCCTCAGGATGCCACTGAAGCTAAGAATTTCAGAAAGGGCTTGGACATCTGCCAGGGTAGCAAGAATATCCAGTTGTTTTAATTAGAACAAACCTTCTGGCAAGGATACGCTAAGTTGTGTTTCAGGGTGTCAGTGCAATATCTAATGGTTGTAACTCAGTATGCAGAGCCCCAGACTCTCGTGTTTTTCTCTAAATCAGATGCTGTTCCTCAATAACAGAAACAGGGTATAGGACTAGCTGGGTGTTGGCCGAGTCCAGCAAGGCAATCCCTGTGTCCCTGAGCGAGGACTTCCCTCATGCCCAATGCTCTCTTTCAGCATAAGACATGTCCTAGGCAGGCCAGCTGTGGGAGAGGAGTATGTACAGGGCAAGTGATTTGGCTATCAGAAGAATCCAAGAAGTCAGAAGAATTCACAATTAAGCCATGAAAAAAGAACAAATCCAGCCAGAAGCCACCACTGACTAATGGAGTTCAGAGGAGTAGGGTCGCTCCTGCAAGGTGCCCGGCATGCAAGCTCTTGCCCAGGGTTAGGTGCTGTTTGAGGAGTGCGTGTGCTGCCGTGAGCTGCTTAGTTTTTGTCTGGAAGGAGCCTAACGCTGGCGATCGGGTGGGAATTTACAGGGTAAAGGGTAGAAGTGATAAAGGCTGCTGCTCTCCTACCCTGGTTAGTTCTGGCTGGCACAACCGCATGGACCAGCATCTCACAGCGGATGCCCTCCTCTCCTCTCCTCTCAGCCCTCTCTCCTCTAAGCCAGGCTACAAGAAAGTCTTTATCAGCCCCTGCTATTCTGCAGACAGGAGGAGATGAATGTGCACTTGGAAAGCCATCCGCATGGCTTGCAGCATACGAACAGCCTCCCCGATGCACCTTTGAACTCCTTCCTCCTGCATTTGTTTGTCTTGCAGATAAAACTTCACAGCAGTGTTTGGAGAAAAGTCTAATGAGGGACCACTGTTTGCATAACAAAGTGAGGCTTCCTCTTCAAATGTTCAAACTTCATTAAATTTAATTTATATTCCAGCTAATCTCTGGAAGTGGAAAAAAATGTGCAGCCAAAGTTTGTTTTTACATAGTTTGGAATAATGCATTGTTTGTTTTAAGTGGTCAGTTGCAACTGACAGTTGCTCTAAATTCAACATAATGATGATTTGTGATGGGCTGTGGATTGTCTAGGGGAGTACTGTGTCATTGACTTCCATGGCTTTAGCACTCTTCTGTGTCAGTTATTGAATTAAAGGGTAAGACCAAATTCATGGTTCCTTAGTTTTGCAGATATTTCAGCATGTCCACAAGACGTGAAAAATTCTGGATCTCTAAAATACACAGCTTTTTCTCCCCAAACCCATGTAGACTTGATTGAATAGCACATTGAATGGCAGTGTGCTGCTTTTGCAGCAGTTCTGGTAGCTGCCACCTGTCCCCTGCAGCGAGTAGCTCACGAGCACAGGGCAGAGAGGACTGCAGCCTCGGCACCGCTGGGAATCCTGGTGGCTTATTGTAGTTTCCTGCCTAGAAAGCAAACGGGCAGATATAAGTGAGCGCTTAAATGTCATTACAGGCTAGCAATAGCAATAACATATTTCTCAGCACTCAGACTTCTTTTCATATAGTAGATAGCATAAAAAATGTCTGGTTTTACAGAATCCCCATTGTAGTTTTGTCCCTCTGTCTATGTAAAATACTCTTTCTCTCTCTCTCCAGGTGAAATATTCAGTACGTTTCACTTATCACCTTCCAGATTTAATAAAATATGAGAAATGAATGATAACATTTAACTTGCGTGTATTCCTAGGTGAGACCTACCCCTTTCTGTAAGTTTACATTGTTACGACAGATGTTTGAAAATACCCTTCAGTTTATCAAGAAAATTATGACCCGGGTTGCAGACATGGACAGCACCGAGGTGTGCTGTGTCCTTTCAACATGAAGAAGCACGATTTTCAAAAACCACTTGTGATTTTTGAGTGGCTCAGTGTTGGTGCACCCAGCTCCTCAGGAGCTCTGAATTGCCTCAAGTGGCCGGCCATGCTATCATTTCAAATGTCTCCAGTCAGACACTCAAGAGCCAAGTTGCCAAAAATGACTGCTCACTGAAAATTACAGCTATGGGCCCTTCTCTGGCTTCATGTGTCTTTAGCCACCGTCCAGAGATCAAAAAGATCTTGTTTGAGAAACAGCAACATGTTGTTTTTAATTTCACCTATGATTTTGTTGTCTCGATTTCCATACCCTCCCTGAATTATTGGAAGAAAAAGTTGCCCATTTCCTTCTGGCATCTTGCCTGTAAGTAAGCATGCATTCATCCCCACAGGATCAGTGCATCTGAGAGTCACAGAACACCCTAAATGTCCCAGCTGGAAGAACAGGCAGCTGCAGATGTTGGGGAAAAGCGAGCCTTGATTTTTACACTTAAACAGCAGTTTGTGCAGCAGGGGTGAGGGAGGCTTTCCATGCAGAGGGCTTATGTTGGTAATCCTCTGTCCAGTTCTCTGGGCAGTGTTGCAGCGTCATCAGACAACTCGTGGATTGAGAGGCGGGTTTCTGTAATGCTGAGATACCTCCCCACCGTAAGTTAAGAGTCCTCATCTTACTTGTTTCATCACCTCCATAACCATGATCTATCCATGACTTTTTTAAAGGCGGCACCAGCCCTTAGAGAACTTATTTATTTATTTATTTATTTATTTATTTTATTGTTTTTCAGGAAAAAATGCTGTAAGGGTTATAAATTTGTTCTTGGACAGTGCATCCCTGAAGGTATGTGATTTCACTGTTCTTACCGTTTGTGTCCCGGTGCATTTGTCTTTTCCTGTTTGCCCTGTTCTCTGCACTGCCAGTTTGGAAGAGCATCCTGACTGAACCACAAACTCAGCTGTACCTCATGTATCAGTGGGGGAACTGCTTCCAATAAATTGTCAGGAAAATAAAAAATCAGTGTCTTCCAAAAGTTTCACTTAGCATGCCAGGCCTTGATCCTCCCTAAGTACATCTGGCTGCACAGATCTTGTAATATGAGCTGGTGCAAACGTAGGGCCACATTCTGCTCTTGGATGTGTGCACATCCAGAAGCACGTGTTTCCTGATTGGGTTTCCTGACTGGTGGCTTTCACAATGTTGTATGAATACCAGTAGTCAGGCACTGGGCCCAACCCAAGAAAAACTACAGCAGAGGTGTTAGACTTTCACTAGGATATATGCTGACGCACAGGTTATGGAAGGAGAGGTGGGAAGAGCTCCGTACCCCTTGGATCCATCACGCTTGATTTGGCTTGTAAGTAAAGGGGCGGTCAGTGATTAGGCGAGTTGGTCCAGTTTTTAATTACCTATTTCCTGATGACATCAGCAAGGGGGCAAGTGGAGAGCATCGCTGAACAGCATCCCTGTCTTCCACCACCTCTCCTGTTGGTGGGCCTGGCCTTGGCATGCGTATGGCCTCCTATTTGCCAGTGAGTAGGGAGATACTGGGAATTACTTGGAGCAGTTCATACTGCAGAGAAAAGGAAATGTCCCCAGAGAATTGCCCATGTCATTTATAAAGATGGTATTTGGGTCCCACAGCTCAGAGGCTCCTGTAACAAAATCTGTTTTAGAGAAGAGTGGGAGGGTTTGCAGGTGAAGCTGAGACTCCCAGGGGCAGCATGCTGTGTGACCAGAGGGCTAAGATGCGTTTCAAGCGCCTGATCCAGGCAAAGCCCAGGAAGCTTCCAGCAATGTCAGTGGGTTTGGATCAGACCCCCCAGGAATTACTCACATCAGTGCCTTGTACAGAAATCCTTCTCTTACAGCTTCAACCTCTTTCACAGATGCCAAACTGCCTGCAGAGTTGCAACGGCGTCCTGCGCTGCCTGGCTGGCTGGCACCCACCACAGAAACAGGCTGAGCTCTGCCTGCCTTTCCCTTGGTGGAGGCATCTGTTGGGTCCTTCTCCTCTACCCACTTGATAACTTTATATGAGCTGTAGCTATGTAACTTCTTCAGTCATTCCTACTGCTTTGTCTGACTTGTGTGCAATCAGCTGATGAAGTTATTAGAGAAGAGGAACTGTCAGGCAGAAGCAAATGACCAGACAGTACAAGCAAATAAGCCACGTCTCCTTAGGAAAGCAGATTTTAAAAATGCTTTATTATTGTAACACATCCTTCTATTTGGTGATATACGGAAAGCCTCAAGCTGATCTGAGAGTTTTCTTAGTTTCAGGTGGCAATGTCTTGAAAAGAAAAGTGACAAGCTAACATGCTTGAGAGAGTCAGCTGGTTTGGGGATTGTAATCTCTGGCCAGCAGGCTCTCCCCAGTTCTGCTCCTGCTGCTGTTTTCCTTTATGTGAGTATTTTTGCTGTTGGCTGGAAACACTAGCAGGCCAGTTACAGAACAACAAGCCATCTTCTCAAAATGGGAATTGTATTTTTGCTGTTTCCTTGAGGAGGAATGGCTCCCCGTGCCAGCCCGAGCCCCAGAGGACCTGGGTCCTGTTTAGGTGAAGCTGGTGCTTACAAGGACTTCCTCTGTCTGTGGTTTTGCAGTGAGTTTTGTCTTGGAGCCTGGGGAGTGAGATCACAGCTTCAATGTGAGATGGATACTTGGAGCAGAATATTATGCTGCAAAGTCATTGTTTGTGTTGAAGGTAGAAACTCTAAATCCTTTCAAAGTGGATAGAAGCCAGAATCTTTATAGTCTGGCCCCCAGCTTTCTTACTGAGTGTAACATTTTTATATGCTGATTATTCACTAAATATAATGGATACAGCAGAAGTAGTAACAGGAACAAAAACAAAATGAGAGCCATGACAATAAATTATTGTAGGCTTCTAATTTTTATCTCTTGACATTTTAGGCGATTATGAGAGCAGATTTTATTATGTACCCACTGACTTCAGTTAATCATGTCTATTAAGTGGATCTTAGTAACCTGAGAGTTTCTGCCATTAACTGAATTTCTCTGTTGGCTGTGGCTTCTTTCCCGTTTCATCTCCGCTCCCATTTTTTCAGCTCGACCTGTATTTTGCCTTGAACTTCACAGGCCACAGCAGTTGAGACAAGCCGGGCCTTTGGTGTAGGGACTAGAAACACGATTCAGTGCAGGGCTCATTTCACTTACTCTGTTATGGTATATCGATAGCTTGGCTCTTCACACATTGTTTTGGCATAATCTTGACAGAAGGGCTGCATGAAATGCGTGTCTCATCACAAGCACATAAATACATTACAGATGTGAGCTTATTAGAGCACATCTGCACCTTTTAATACAGTAATAGCAAGTCAAAATGCAGAGGAGTAGTTCCAGCCCTGTCTGGAAATGATGATTTAGCAGTGGGTGCAAGGAGGAAGGTTGGGAGAGGGACAGACCCTCCTTTTCCCACTCTGTCACGGCTGCCTCAGGAAGACACCGATCTCCTCTGCTGGCAGCTGTTGTTTAAACAGAGCCTTTTCCTCAAGGGCTGTGTCTTTGCCCATGAACATCTTCAGTTTCTGTCCTGTTGTTTCTCATCTGTCCTTGAAGAGCAACAGAAAGCAGTTAGCCCAGTGAACCTGGGTCCATGCACCCAGCTTCTGCATTTCTCTTTGCTTTGCACACACCTTCTCGTGCCGGTGTTCAGTTGGCAGAACAGGGGCTGGTGATCCTCAGGAAAACAGAGAGTGGAATTCGCTTTGCGTCAGTGTCTTCCCTCTAGCATCTCTTCCTGCTCCACTTGGCCAGATGTACAGGTCAAAAGGGAGCTTCTCGCCCTTTCTTCATGATGGTCGCCCTCTTCTTTGCGTTGGAGACTGACAGCTCCAACCAGGTCCTGTTTCACAACTTCACCAAGAGTAAAGCACAGAGCATTGTAGTCTGAAACAATTGTTTTGGAGAGCACCCTCCCTACCACTGGTTCGTTACCTGAGTGTCCTGGTTGTTGATTAATTCACACCAAAGTGCTCTATGACAGGCAAACACTAATTGTATCTGCTCTTTCCTCACTAATGCTATTTCAGAAACTCTTTCTTGGTGCAACTTGCAGTGTTGCATTGTCATTCCTCAATTCATTTGAAAAGCTGTGTGTGAAATCATTTGTTATTCTGCTTCTGGTTTTCATATTTTCCTAAAGTCTGGAACAAGCTGATCCTCACCATATGACTTTGATTCATCCTCAAACCACATTTCATAGGTTGGGCTGGCAGACAAGGGGCTTGCACATGGAAGGGATGTGCATCCTCAGTTCCACAGTGCACGCAGAGGTGACGTACCTCAACCAGGAGCTGCTGCACTTTTTGCCCAATTTGGTCCTAAATGTGAAGACTCCTCCTGAGACAGTCATGCTGCCTGGGACCAAAGCTCTGGAAACACACAGCTACAGGATGTGCGACCTGCCCACAGCTACTGTGTCATCTGGGTTGATTCCATGACCATGTGGGAGCTGCCACCTGGAGGTACTTGGGAAGAGCTCCACCTCCTGGACTTTTCCCTGTTTCTGTGTGAAAATGAAGATTTTCATCAACTGATCTGAAATCTATCCACCATCTCCTCCATCAGTGTGAGACATGGAATACTGCTTTCTCTTTTAATATGAAAATATTGGTTTGTCTTTGTACAACTCAGTGGGCTGAGAAGATGCATGGACCACAAGTTAGAGTCTTAGTATGGAATTTAGGAGAACTGAATGCAATTCCCTGCTCAAGCACAGACTTCCTATATTGCCTCGTACCACCCATTTAGAGTAATATCCTCACTGTGGAATTGGCATCCAAGTTAGCCAAAGACTGCGTGAGCATCTAAATTCAAGCTTTCCTGATCTAACCACAACCATGCTGGCACTGCTTTAACCTGTGCTAGGTGTTAAGGCCTCTGGGGCATGTCTTACAGCTCTTCACAGACCCTCTCAAGAACATTCCTAGCCTGCCATAGAGCAAAATGCTCCGGGCTTAGCACATCCCATGCCTCTGGTGTAATTTCAGGGCCAAATAGGTATATACCGATAAATGTGGAAGAAAGGAATAGGTAGAAGGGCAAAAAGGGATGGAACAGGGAACTGTGGAAACACTTGGAGAGCTAGTACTAGTTAAATACTAAAGGTTAGGTTGTGGGTGGGTAAGACAAAGCCTTTGGTAAAGCAGAGTCTAGGTCCGAAAATATATCCTAAGCTAGGTAAGTTAACAGGAATTCAAAGCACCTACAAATATAGATTATATGTTTTTGTAAGGGAATGGCTGGGCTTTATGGCAGAAAAGACAAATATGTGTTGTGAGGAGGGAAGAAACGACATATGGCTCCACTTTGGTAAGGCCTCTGAGACTTTTACAAGTGGCATTCTGACAAGCAGTGGTCTTGATGGAGCTTTTCCTAAGGTGGATGCACTGATGGTATTTGAAGAGTAGCTACATGAAATATGGCAAAAGAGAAAAGATTAAAAAGAACTGGGTTGTTTAGTCTAGAGAAAAGAAGGCTAAGGGAGACATGATAACAGTTTTCAAGTATGTAAAAACTTGCTGCAAGAGGTGAAGTAAACTGTTCTTCATGGCCAAGAGAAAGAGGACAGAAATAATGAGCTTAAATAGCTCTAAGGGGGATTTAGATTAGACATTAGGAAAAAACTTTCTATCTGCAAGAATACTTAATCTCTGGAACAGCCTTAATGGTGGTGGGGTGTCTCCAACCCTGAGGTTTTTTTTTTAGCCTGAGTACAGGCTAGATAAACATCTAATACGAATACAGCTGATCCAGCTTGTGGTGGGAGATGGTCCCTTCCAGCATTGTTTTTACGACTTTATTAGAAAACATCTACTCATGGACGTGCAGGGAGGACGCAGCTCCCTCGACCTCTATTCTGAATAGGCTGAACGTGGCACAGGCCGAATCCAACATCTGTATAGGTGCAGCTAAGAAGCAGGCATCTTTGGCTCAGAGGTGGGCATATGAGCATGTCTTCCAGATATCTGTGCCCCCTCTGTGTAGTCTTTCCAGGCCTCAGCCACTTGTGTGCAAAGAGGCGCTGCCAGCAGTGCACTGAGGATTCATGCCCTGCTCTGTATAGTGCCAGATGCTCAAATTCTACTGCATAAAGGTCATATTTTAAATAGACTGATTTCATTTCAGTGGGAAATAAAAATTGTAATCATGCCCAGGAAAAATGCTGCTTTATATTTTGTGAATATTTAGTAGTGCCAAATGTAGCAGAAGCTTAAAGCCAAAGTGTCACCTAAAAAGTCCAAACTAGCTCCCAGGTGGTCTATGTTTGAAGGCACTGGCCCTGTTTTTCTTCCATGCTTGTGCAACGCTTTGTACCCTGGTTCCTGTTAGAGAGTCTGGCGCTGCAGTCACACTGCCATTCAGTATTACAGTATTGACGACAGATTTCAAGAGTTAAAATCAATGCAACTGCAAAATAAAAAGGAAAGAAAGGATGCGTTATTCAAAAGGTAACAAGCACAAGGAAGGAAATGCTTGGCACGATTACAATGGTATTTTTTGGTCTAGTGGACTTTGATGTGACATGTTGGCACCATAGCAGCTTGTTAAGTCGTATTTGGCAGTTTTTTGTACGCTGGCACACTGTCACTTTTACCTCTAGAGCTACAGATGTACTTTATATAACTCACACAGCAAATGTGGTTTCACTTGCTTTACCATCTATTAGTTCATTTTAATTGTTTGGAAAATTTGTTGTTCCCAGAGATGTCTGCTACTCATTAGTGTGAGTCAATAATGAGCTTGGTTTTTAATTATTTTATACTGTGTATATGCAAATATGTTGTATTGTGGGGAACTTAGTTGAAACACTTAAATTTGTTTTAGACCTCTCTGGTTTGGAAGAAGAACAGGCTATTTCTGCAGTGGCCCTCCAGGACCCTGTATTGGAAGGTCACATGCAGCAGTGGCAAACAAAGTGAACTACTGTATAAATGACGAAGTTCCTCTAACACAGTCACAGAAACTGCTACTTGTTCTGGCAGAAAATATGAACTTAAGGGGGATTTGAGTTGATTTGGAGAGTGGACACTACTTTATTTCCTTTCTCCTCCCTGCAAGTGTTCCCCGCGGTGCTAAGGGCCCTGAGCAAGGCGCCGTGGTCCCCTGCTGCCTTTGCGTGCATGGCTGGTGCTTCCCACAGAGCTTGCCCGGGTCAGTTGCTCGGTGCTTCTTGCCCACAATGTGTGGCTGGAGTTGGGTTTCTAAGCAATGGGAAAGCAGTGCTGCAGCACCACCAGGACCAGCACCCACCCAGCCCCTGGGAGCCAGAGGGGAGGCTTTCCAGCCATGCAAAAACTTTACACACGTCTGAATGTATCCACCACATGGGGACGTGCCTCCTGGGAAAGCACAGCTAATCTCTGGGCAAGGCTCTGCTTTGCTAATGGCAAGGTCAAAACAAACTGCGCGAGTCCTTCACACTGGCTCAACCCTGCAGTCTCAGGCTCTGGGGTTGGTTTCCAGGACTTCAGCTCCGTTGCTATATAACAGTGAAACCAGAAACAGATTTGCCCTCCTTATGATTTTGAGCTGGTACTTCAGAGCACCTTTTGTGATTCCACTGACAAGCTCGGCCAGTGACTTATCATATCCTAATCTTCATATCACTAATATTAAGAGTGATGGTGGTTTTGTAACAGTGTGTTCTTTGCTAGAAGGGTTATAGCTGGTTTTGAACACTCACTGTGTGATTTTATTTAACTTTCCCTTATGAGATACTTTCTGCCTGAATTTGGCAGTTATCTTCATAGTGTTTCCCAGTATTTTGCATGGGAAATGCTGCTATCAGCACTTAAACATTCGTGGAGGAAAACAGCAAATAACTTTTATGTAACTTAATATTTCTGTGAGAAGAATTCCTAAATTCTGCAAACCAGGAAAGTGCCCCTTTCTTAAAGTCTAACTTTAAAAAACAGTTCAACTATTGTAAGGCTGTAATTAGCAATTGCAGTTTTACCATAATACATTGCTTACATTTCATGAATGTTCTCTAGGTTTCTTGAGTCCTGAGAAATAATGTAACAAGACTTTATTAATTAGCAAAGACAGAGGTGAAATGTTTGCTAACAAAGTGTCACCCACCAACTGCTGTCGGTATTTTCCTAATCACATCTTTCTCTCTCTAGACTATGATGTCTGTGCAGAAGCTCCTTGTGAACAGCAGTGCACAGATAACTTTGGACGGGTCTTATGCACCTGCTATCCTGGGTACCGCTATGACCGTGAGAGGCACAGAAATAGAGAGAAGCCTTATTGCCTGGGTGGGTAGAAGTGCATGTTAAGTCTGTCTCTGGTTAATGATGTATCCTGCTTCTTCAGTTCTTTTAGCGGTCAGTTTAGATCTGAAGCCTTGCTTATTTTCTTTACTGCTACAGAATAAATGTGGTATCTAAAACAGGACATACATACATTAAACACTTCAAAGTCTCTGAGCTGATGTAATTTTTCCCTTTATTAATCCCCCCTGCAGATTTGGAGCAGTATTCTGGTTTTTCGCCCGAGAACAGGGGCATGATTCTAACAGTAACCCTCAAAGCCATATAGCTACGCCTAATTCTGAAAACCAGCCCTTGTGTTTTGATTCAGATGACAAGTATCTAACTCAGGATTGACCTTTTACAAGAGATCTTTCGGTGGCTAGTGCCACCCAGTTCAATAGTGCTGCCCTGTGGGGTTCGCCATTCCAGTGAGCCAAGGTTTGCGGAGTCAGGCTTTGTTTGTACACTTTCTGGTGCAAAGAAACTGCCAAGCGGCGTTCATCTTTAAAAAGCCAGGTGTGTTAATAATAATGCAGTTTGCATGGAGCTGTGGTCTGAGGTGCCAGAAATTATTCATTATTTAGTCAAAGTCAAAATCTCCTCATCCTTTAAAGGAAGTCTTTTGTTATATTTGAGGTCTGAACCCCCTGGCTTTTGGACATTTTCAACACTTTTTCCTGTCCAGATATTGATGAATGTGCCACAAGCAACGGGACGCTCTGCTCTCAGATTTGTGTCAACACCATGGGCAGCTACAGATGTGAGTGTCATGAAGGCTATACCCGGGAGGACGATGGGAAGACATGCACCAAAGGAGATAAAGGTATGTGCTAATGGGTGTTAAAGATCCTGGGCCAAAGGGTCTTCTAAGAATTTAATCTCTTGTGGAGAAGAAACTCACGGAAACGTGAGGCAACCAATGCCAAATTTGATAGGAACTTTGTGGACTCAAGTTATTTAAAAGGAAACACACTCTCCAGAGGCTGTGATACAGTTCCATAGTCCGTATCAGCAGCATTCCTGGAAGCATCCCAGGCTGGCAGGAAACGTGGCCTTAGCTTCTCAGGGGCCTCCGAGAGCCTGGGGTGTTTGGTCCTACAAAGAGGTGAGAGATGTAGCGCTCTGAGCACTGAAAGCGCCGGGGAGACGAGCTGCCGACAGTGTCATCCTGCCATGCCAGGAGAAGAGCCATCATGCCCCAGCCCGCAGCGGCCTCTGAGATGTTACGATGCTGTGGAAAGCCCATCATCGGACTGCTTCCCACTCCACGCTTGGAGCTGGGAGGCCCTGAAACGGGGATGCAGCCACTGCTGCAGGAAGCCCAGATTGTTCAGAGGCCAAATTGCCTCCAAGTCTCTGATATCCATTCGCCTGTGGAGCAATCCTACGTCTCGTTCTCCTTGTCATTCGCTCATCAGCTACGCACACTGGGCAGTAAATCACTAGTCTCAGCTGTAAAGAGAGGGCACTAATATGTTGAAGGATGTGGAAAGCCTCTTCCTGCCAGAGAGGGAGAGGTGGCTGAAAAGTGGAACTTGCTTTTGTAACTTAAGTTAGACCATTTTTCCGGAATCATACAGTTGCTGCCAGCCATATTTTGCTCTTGTACCAACCTGGACTACAGCTAGTTCGGAGCATAAAACTCAGCCCATGGGAGACTTTAGAAAAAAATTTGCCAAATTCTGACCCTTACAAGCCTTCATTAATTTCCTCCGTTAATTAATTTAATTTCAGTGGGTATCATTTGTATTTACCTGCCTACAAGTGAGATTAGCCAATGGCCCTAGGCTGGTTTGTTAGTACCTTTGAGCATTCAGGCACACAAAAAAGGTGTGCCTGGGAATTCCAGTGTCTTTTTAAGCATTATTTAAATCAATAGCTAAATTAAACTGAATAACACTTGAATTCTGCTGACCTGCAGTAAGTTGAGTGTCTCATGACTGCAGTCAGTTTCCTTTTTTTTAATGAAAGTAATATGCGGTGAAAAGGGAGAGAGTAAGGGATTGTTCTTGCAGTTCACCACCGGTTTCAAAGTGTGTGTGTATAAAAGATTTTAAAGTTTTTTTATCTCGTTCCAGTTATTAAATTGTGGTATTTAGAATACATCAGATTAAATACTGATATGGCAATTTCAAAAAGAAAGGAGGAAGGAAATAACCTGTGCTCTGGGGGGAAAAAAAAAAACTTTTTTGATGAATGGTATCTTACCATTGGTTCATCTATTAATGACTGAATGCATGCATCACTGGGTGCTCCAAATTCCACTGCATGGCAAGAGCATTTTATAATTTTGCTTTTCCTCCGAAAATACGTAGCTGGAGACACTCCATTAACCTTAATTGTTCCTTGTAGTTTTCAAATGTTTGTTTTCCTTTTAAGTGTTTGGGACTCATTAAGTAAAAAGTTATGATGTAAATAATCCCCTTGCAAGTATTTTTTTAAGTTAACATTTTATCTTGCTAGTTCAGGTTTCCCGATAGAGTAATGTCCAAAGCATTCAGCTAACTGATCATACAAGATATTCAAGGCTTTGTAAATAAGCTTCTAGTATTTGGAAAACAGCAATTTTTATACTGAATGTACATGGCACATAAAAATGTCAGTTCCAGTAATTAATCTGGAATTAAATACACACCATTTCTCAAAAATTTCCCAAATAAGCTATGCAAAGCAGGTAAGGATAGTTTCTGTTCTTTTACCCTATTGTACTCCAAGATAATATTACTAACTTTGCCAGACCTCTGGTGTAAATGAAAGAGAAGTCAGCTATCGCACAGCTCGTGTCTGTAGCTACCAGTCCGCAGGAAGAAAATTTTCAAGAGTGGAATTGAACAGGCTATAATGACGCACCACCTCGTGGCCAGCTCAAGCCCCTGCACAGTTACAGGGAGCACCACTTCTACGCTGGAATTACCTCGCAACGAACAGTAGACAATCCCCTTTTAATGGTAGCTGGAACACTTACATTTTATTCTGACGTTTAATATGAGAGACTGTAAAATCCATGTAGAGCCTTTTTCTCCAGCTTTAACCATATTGCACATTTCATGGAGAATTATTAGTCACGTGTTCAGCGTACTGTGCCTGGAGATGATTGGATGCTTTTTGGCTCTGAACAAGTGGCTTGGTGAAGTGCTTTGGGTTTGTCAGTAGGGCACAAGAATAGGGAGCAATTTTGCCACATGCACAGTCATGTTGCGTTTGACAGAGACAATAGTTACCCACTCATAAGTAGGCAAATTAAACCATCTCGGCAGGCTGAGCCCAGATAATACAACACAGATGAGAAACTAAGCGTTCTCCATGAACAGAGTGCTTGCGGCACAGTTCCCCACAGAGCTCTCCTCTGCCAGTCTCTCGTTCTCGTCCAGCATCAGCAAGCCAAAAGTCATCAAGCGCACGCGAAGAAAACACATTGTTTCTCCCAGCACTTCTCTTAGCAATAAGTGCTTCAGGGCTCACCGATGTCTCACTCAGATGAAAGGAGCTATGTAAGGAGAGCAATGCAAGGCATGACCTAGACTAAGTGGTTTGTAAAGACTTCATAAAATGGGGCTGGTTTCAACCTTCTCTGAAATGGTTTTAGTTTCCCCATTGATGTTTGTACAATGAAAACAGGTTATATAAGTGTCTTGCTCAGTGCTTGCCAAACTTATCCTTTTAGGTGACCTCAGTATCTGCACTGAGCGTGGGTGGCTCAGAGTCTAATTGCTTCCGGCCTCCTCTGGCCTGTCCTAGGTGGCTTCTGGCTTTATCCATGCTCTGTCCTGGCTTTATTCATGTTTTGTTCCTGACATGGGATCAGATGGGGGTAGAGGGAATGTCTGATGGATGACTACTTTCCTGGGCAAATCATCACCTCTGTCTGATATGAGTTAGGGGGATTCCACCTCTCTCCTGGGACGTAGCTCACACTCGCTTGTGTGACGCTGTTGGACTTCTTCCTGAGATAAGTCAATCCAACTGGACTTGCAGAAATCTCAGTGGTATGATATTTCCCAAACACTAGCTGACACTCCCCTCCCCCAGCCATGGTTGCTTCCCTGCGTTATTACAGCCCTGTTTTATCAATAGTGGTCTGCCTGTGCACCACATCCTCCAGGAAGATAAACTGGATTTTATAATGGAAGTAGAGGCCAAATTCAGTGCTTCTTAATCTGCACATAATTCCACTGATTCTAGTGGGATTGCATGAGGTTTCCAACCGCAGAGCATCTGGCAGTTTCTCCCTATGACCGAATGTTGCTTTCAGCAACATTTCTTAACACAATGTGTGCATTTTGTGAGGGAACTCATTTGGTAAGTTATCTGTTAAAAGAAATTTTGGTTTAAGACTAGTACCAAACACAAACTTTACTGGAGCTGAACAAAAAGCATATATTTTTTAAAATCTCTCTCTCTATAGGAGCCTCTGTAAATCCTATGCAGGTCCAAAATGGAGATGTCAAAACACTTGTGATCAAGAGAAAACTTAGCTTATGGAAATATCAAGGTATCCTAATTGTGGCATATGAATTCCTCCTTAAGAAAGCCCCTGCTGCATACTGCAGATGCTTTAATCTAACAGAGAATTGCGTATGGGCGAAGAGGCTTTGGAAGAAGTGAAAATCAACGTGATTTGCATTAGAAACACAGCTGTGAGGAAGCCAGCAGATGACACATAGTCAGTTATCTTCACATGAAGGCTGAAGTCCTGCTGGAAAATGACATTGGACTACAGTTGTAGGAGCGGCCAGATGATAGGTGCGGAACCCTCCCCAAACCCTCCTAGTCTTCTGATGAGCTCATCAGTAATACTGGTGTCCTTACTGCTGCGGGCCATTCCACCCCATTGCCCTTACGGCCTTCTCCTACCTGCTTTAGGACAATGAAAGAAAGACGCACATTTGTCACAGGGCATTCCAAGAAGAGAGAAATAAGCCTGCGACTTCTAAAAGCAGGAATATGTGATTTAGTCGGATGGACTAATCCTACAGAAAAACAATTTGTCCTAAATTGCTGATGGCACAGACGGTCCATAGATGGCCAAGAGGAGTAAATGCAATGGTCCTTATTGGACCCTGTAGATATATACATCTGAAGGCAAGCACCACCTAATATCTTTAGTGCTAAAAAAAGTTCTATTTTTCTTAAGAATGATGGAGATGTTTTCAAAATCAAACCACATTTATGAAAAGATGACTTAAATAAGGACACTCAAGTGTGTGTCCAAGTGAGAAACATAACACAATAACTAAGTGCATTTTAGCTGACCCTTTTTTGAAGATTTGTGAAGATTTATTGGCTTTTATCAGCAGCACCTGCAGAGTTCTTGCATTACACGGTATGCTCTGATTCAGTGTTCAGTGTGGTCAGTGTTCAAACTTTTCCAGTAACCCTTACAGGTGAACATTGTAAAAGACCAGACATCACATCCAGGGTCCTCAGTAGACTCAGTGCTTCTCATATACTATAAATGGAAGAAGAAAAGCTTGCTTAGAGTTCGCCAATAAGTTTTGCACTGTGTTTTTGCAACTACGTTTCTCTTTAATAGGACATCTGTTAAAACAGTACTTGTTTGTTTGTGATACAGAATTGATTCATTGTTTATGAGACTGGGAAAAAGACAAAAATAACATTTGCAATATCTGTTACAGTTTGAATCATGTCATACATGCTTGAAAGATTTCATTCTTGCGTAGTATCAGCTGGTGTGACCTTTTCTCCAGCGTGGAATTAAATCCCTATCATTAATCTCAATTCCTGTCTCTGATCAGTCTGATTCCATTGCATGGAGGAATAATCAGTGACGATAAAGAGCAGTTTGTGCAAAGTGAATGAAATGGCCACATTGTAAAAGATTCTACTGTAATTTATAGCATACGAAAATTTGCCCTTCAGAGGACTGTAAATCAGTTCAGATCTACACGGTTAGTCTAGCATAAATGCAAAGATAAAAGAATGGGTGTAAACATGTTCAGGTATTAAAAAAATAAATTCTTTAGGGACTGTTAACTGGAAACAGCTGCTTTAGAAATGAGCTCAGAGCTGTCCTTGCAAAATTTCTTAGCCTTACGCAGCAGTTCACAGTCAAAGCATCAGCAATGGCAAGACTCCTTTTCACTTTCTGGGGAAATGTAACAACCTGCAAGACTCTGGCTGCTTTTGCAATCACTTTATGAATTACTTTGCTTTGAATCTTTATATTTCTACTGGAAACTGCTTTCTTTCAGCTGGGCTTCCTGAGAAATCTGAAAACATGGCGAAGCCAGGGACATGCTGTGCCTCTTGTAAGGAATTTCATCAAATAAAGCAGACGGTTTTACAACTGAAGCAAAAGGTATGATCATTGATCAGTCATGTCTTTACCAGACCATTGTTTTATGATAACCAAGTTTAAATTTAAGTGTTTGGAGGTGTCACCGCCATGTGGCTCTTATGCCCATAAAGATGATGGCAACATACTGTAAAATCATGTAGGAATGGCATTTCTTCCTTTAAGCTTTTGTACTGCCTGTAAGGAGATTGCTAGTTATACCAAGCTCTTGGTAACAGAGTCTGGCAGACACCCATCACAATCTGAGCCCAGGTTTCTTTGCAATCTGCGCTTTCCTCTGCTTTCCATTCGTTCTGAAAACACAGCATTTTGAACTTTGTCCACCGTTAGTTTATGTACGTGCAAGATATTCTGCAGATGAGGGAACATGGGAGAGTATGATTTTGCACTAACAGGGTGCTGATACAGGACAGTTGCCAAACAGGAGGCGTGTGGCTAGATAAATGCATTACTAGCAGATACATTAACTTTGATATAAAACAAAAACCAAAAAAAACTTAGACCCAACTTTTTTTGTATTCATCTTGGTGTCCTTAGAAGTATAGTATAATGTACTCAAAAACTTTCCAAGTTTATTTGCTCCTAGTGTGATCCTTTTGCACTTAGGTAGGATTGAAATAAACCGGAGACCCACCCCAGGATTTGGAAAGGCAAGTGCAGAGATCCAGATGAAATGCCTTTTTATGTTGATATCCCCTTCAAAACATTCAGAGTCACTGGAGTGGAAATGTTCTGCAGGATGCTTCTAAGCAATTCATGTTGACAGGCGGTAAACATTTCACTCAGGCTGTTCATTTAATTTCACTGTGTCAAGACAAAATTTTGTATAGTCACTTGTTGCATTTAATGCAATTCATTCATTGTATTTTTATTAAGAAGAAAGAAATCTCCATCACTACAATGAAATACATTGACGTTTTGGAATACTTTTTATCTAAAAAAAAATCTCAAAATGCCTTGTTTTCTTTCTGAATCAGTATGAAGAAAAATGTGGAAGGGCAGAATTTCATGTGCGACGGAAATTCTGCTTTTCAAATTTATCCTGCTAGTGGATACCAAACGGCTTAAAAAAAGAAGCCACGCTTTTGAGTATCTATATGTTCATCCAGCCACAGTAAGTGAGGCTGAGTAGCTTGCATGGACCTCCAGGGAGGAACCTGGAATCACACTGTTGGCCAAACAGTTTGTGCAAGAATTCATGGAAACTTATGGACTGAATTAATGGAACGTTTTTTAGGTCTTACTTTAGGAGTCTATGTTCAAAATGCAGTGTTGATAAAAAGCTGATACCCTCAACACCTCTTACTGTGGGTGCCTTGTGCTGTACAGTAACTGTGACCATGCTAAGCAGCTCGTTCTGGTCTCATAGCTAAGTTCCGTTGGGATCTATACCTTAAGTTTTCCCCAAGTATTTTCCTTGTGAGACTTGATCTATTTGGCATTCTCAGAAGGTGCCCACTGGATTGTGCCTCACACAGACAGAACTGCAAGAGGTGGTACCATAACATCCCCAGCATTTTTTACGCCACAGTGGGGAGAGCTTTTTGCCCATGCTGAGAGGAGATGAGATCTGGGCTCATACTGCTCTTCTGCCCAAGTAGATGTGAGTCCTCATGTTTCACCAGATGTGAGTCCTCATGTTTCACCAGCCTCTCCCTGTGGCCAAATCCTTCTCAGGAGGATGTTTCTCAACATCTGCGATTGAAGCTACTCTGTTTTACACAGAATAATTCATTCCTGTCTGCCAGACAGTTTATGGCAATGAGTCTTTAGTCCTGCGGTGAAGGCCATTGGATTTTATGAACTTTATACAAAATTAAGTTTAGTAGAAGAGTCTGAGACGGAGCCAATCCAGAAAACCCTGTGACTGGGACTTGGCGTATGCTTCTGGAAGTGGGAGGTGTGGTTTTGGGTCTCCTCAGGCAAGCAGGGGTTTGAAGTCAAGACCGTATCACCTCTGGAGTGTGCACTAGCTACTGGATTAAAGGATGGAGGTGATGCCACCAATACTTTTTAGAGGATTGTACCATATACTTCAGATCCAGAAAACACTAGCTTTTGGATCAGAGCAGAAAGTGTTGGAGGAGTTATCCAGTGGGATGGATTGTCTCATGATATACTAGAGGAACTTGGGGCAGTGCTAGGTTAATCTCAGACCTTTCAGGGAAAAGACTGAAAAGAATGGAAAACTAGGGGAAGGATATCTGACATGCTGACACACAGCCAGCAATTTAAAAAAATCAAGTAATCAGTTCAGCACTCGGAATTAAGGCATTGTTGGAGCCTATTGCACAGATATTTAAGCATCTTAATTAGAAAGCCATGTCCAGCATCACTCCTATCAAACCCTGTCAGAATCACCTAGGCCACAAAACTCCTAGGAACTGCTCAAAACTCCAGATGCAGCATGCAACATTGAACATGGGGAGTCTTGCTTCTAGCGCTGTCTTCCTTTAAAACTTACTCTCACAAATATTTGCAAGCATATGGAAAAAAAAAAGTATTTTCCAAGCACTATTAAGATTTGAAGCTCTAGAGGGAGAAAGTTAAGGTCACTCTGGACCAAGATCCTGGTTCAGTTAAAAGGTGAAATAGAAATTAAGCCAATGAATATAGCCAGTCCCCGAGAGGATTTGAGTCAACATCGAAAACACATGGTTTGGCCCCAGTATATGTGGCAGCCATTTGCTGGCGAGGAAATATAAAGGAGCAGTGAGCTAGACCAAAGCCTGGGTATTTTGGCACTTCTAGTGTATGTCTCAAGTCCAGCTGACTCAGTGGGGAAGCATGTGTAGATGCTTTCACAGCAGCTATTTGATTTTTTTTTACCTTATGAAGTTATTTGTTAAAACAGCCTTGCTGGCAGGAACAAGTCAATATCTTATTTAAGCAGCAGAACAGAATACACTTTTAAATCCTCTTCATGCTGAATCTTCTGCCATTAAACGCACCTTTCTACTCCAGCCTGGCCATTTGCAACATAATCTGAAGAATTATTCACGGCAGAGACTATATAGTAAGTGACATTTATTTATCAGCAGGGATACTCATAAATTCCCAAATCAGGACCCCACTCCAGACAGTCTGGATGCGGCCCAGGGAGATGCACCTTTGCAGCGCACTGACTGGAGCTGGCTGGCTGGCTGACCTCCTTGGGCCGGTCCCCAGCCAATGTGGCTGTGAGAGCCCCCAGTTACCGAATTTTCCTCTTCAGCCTAGGGTGTAAAGTATTGTGAGCCTTGGGGTAGCCCTTTAGCCTCAACAGTCCCACACTTTGATCTGTGGTGCAGTGGCTGGGATGTTATCTCTGAAAGCTGCAGAGTCATTGGTAAATCAGGCAATTGTTTTTCTTTGGAAAATCAAAGATGACAACGCCAAAGGCACAACCCAGAGCAGTGGGTGTGCAGAATCACCATTTTCTGTGTGGGAAGGCTCATAGGAGTAGCTACCTTGACCTAAGAAACACCCTGTGGGGTTTCTGTGAAGTACTGATCCAACTACTAATTTCCAGCAGGGTTGTAGTGAATCTACCAAACTCCTATAAGACTTACAACATGTCATTTAACTTGTCTACAGCTCAGGAATCTTGTCTTTGGAACACCAATGTTCTCCAAAGCCTGAGTCACAAATGGCTGATAAATCTTTGTATTCCTGTCATTGCATTTTGAATTCTAGCCTGAAAGTCAAACTGTATGTTTCAGAATTGCCATCAGGAACTGATTCAGCATTTCCATCATTTTTTCTCACTTTGGTTCCATCACAACTCTTCTCTGCATCCAACCCCAAACTGCAAACAGCACTGGCTGCTCTAGAAAGTCCATTTCCTAACTAATAGCTTGTTTGCTGACAGAAGTTTGCCCTATGTATTGCAAGTGCATAGCATTATTATTTTGACTCTGCTTTACAAACACTAGATTTGCACTAGAGGCAGAGAGGTTGAACTAACCTCCAAAGGTCCCTTCCAACCTCAACCATTCTGTGGGTGTATACCAAATAATTAGAGAAACAAATAGGAGTTTTGAGAACAGTCCAGTACAGAGAATTCTAAATAGCTGATGAAAAGCACTAGCAGAGAGCAGGGGGTCAGCATGTATTTTAATGCAGCTCTCCCAGGAAAATGTTGCAGAGTCTATCATCAAATTATCCAGTGAGCTAATTTCATTCAGGGCAGCAACGAAGCTGCCCCAGGGATAGATTTGCCCTTGTATTGCCGAAATATCTCTTCAATTCTATTTGGCAGGGCAAAATTCCCAACTCTACATGTGGCCATTCACCACTAATAACCTTCTTTTCTGACTGTAGAACAGCCTCCTGGCTTGTCATCTCCCCTCCACTGACTCTGGGGAGACTAAAGGTTTGCAGAATGTCTCTAAATACGTTCAATTATTAAATGCATTCCATCTGGGTAAGTAGACCTGATATTTAGTGGATTACAGCATTTCAAATCATATTATGTAGTTCTCCTTATATTCTCACTGGCTTTTGCCTTGGATCTTTATGCAGAGCAGGTCCAGACACCTGTTCGGTTAAACAGTATAGTCTGCAAAACTAGACTTGTCTGTGTGGGTCACTTAAAACTCCCTGTGGAAAGGAGCTGTAGCTTGTCACTCTCCATGACAATGTTTTCTCATCAAATTTCTGCATAGAGGTTGGTCAGAAAGACATACAGGTGAGAGTTAAGGTTCCCACGCATCTTCCCAGCTGGTAGTGATTACCCGCGAGCAGGTCCCATCAATGCTGGTAGAAGATGTGTGGTGAGGGGCAGTTTTCTTTTGGACAACAAAGTAAGGCAAGAGCTTAAAAGAAATCTTGTACATGAAAACTTGAGTCTGCTAGCTTAGGCGTTATTGCTGTCACAGGCTTTAACACAGTCATATGTTTTCTGATAGACTGCAGTGAAGCATTATGGCTGATCAGAGTTCACTGGATCAAAATTAATTAATGGAATTAAGAGCAGGAAGTGCTCTTTTTTATTTTTGTAGATGCCACAACATTTATCCTGTGAGAGTTAGATGGAACACTGAGCCAGAACATGTCTATGATATAGCAATATATAACAATATGTGGTCCTTGTTTACATAAGTAAATGGCCTCCACTGTCCACTGGTTTCAAAGATGTCAAGTGAGCCTGGGGAAGCTATGAAATGCTAACTCAAGCAGAAACCTACTGTATTGAATGTCTATGCTATCTTCCAGCCAACCCCACTGGAGATGAGGGTCCAACCTCTTCCCCAAAGACTTTGCAATCTAAGAGGAAAACAGTTTAAAAGAGAAAGATTTTTAACTAAATCAATCATTTGAAATAACTGCTGATTAAATCCAGTTCTGTATCCTTGTGGTCTTCTAAAATCCATTTCAATCAAGCAGAAGTTTCTGAATGAGATTGATGTGCCTAAAATGACATAGCCTTAGCAAAAGGGAGGCATTAAAGACTTTTTCCTCTGACCCTTGTAGTCCTCATCAACCAAAGGGATGAGAATCCCTCCTGAGACTAATTAGCGCTGGCTTAGGTGAGACTGACCACTAGAGAATCAAATGGAGAAAAACCAGAGTGGCTAGAACCGGTGCTTTTGTCGCAGCAGGAGATAACTTGCAGGAGACTAACAGACAAGGAACTAGAGTCAATCAATCAGAGCTAAATCACAGTGGATGAGGTGAATAGGGAAGGTGACCGCAGGGCAGCCAGAGAACCCTGGAGCGCTGACACCACAGGAGTACGCCTCCGAGGCTCTGGGGCTGCTTGGCTACCGCAACAGGATTTTCAAAAATGCTATTGTTTCCTTTCCTCTGCCCTGGCTGTTTTTTAGGATAGAAACACTGATAGAGCTGCTGCAGATAACCAGCCTTTGTATATTTATTCATCCTTCCCTAGGCTGCAAGCTCCTCAGGACAGGGATATGCCTTCTTTGCTATCTGGAAAGTACTTAGTACCTCGTGGGTGCAGCTGTAAGCATGCAAAACCAATTAATACATGACAGGTACTTCTCCCAGACTTCAGCTGGTCTCCAGCATAGCTGAACAAGGTTTGGCACAAAGCTTCTCTAGCAGCCATTCCAGGCACACGCACAGAGCCAGACTGTCAGGACAGCAGTGATGAAAATTTGGGCTGAAAGCCAGGGTTGAGCAAGAACCTGTTGTGTGTGAACCTGAAGCCTTTGCTTTTGAGTTCACACTCTAGCTAGTCCAGATGACACCTGGAGACCTGGCCCTGTCCAGGTGACACAGAAAGGACTGAGGAGCTGGTGGAGATGGCCAGCAGAGTTCCCCTCTCCTGCACCCCAGTCTCATTTCTCCCCCCACCCCCACGCACACACCATGGAGACACTGTAGCATTTGGCAGGTCTCTATCCAACCCTGTAGCACCATGGAGTACCCAGAAGAGAAGGACATATCTCACCGGAAAGGCTTTGGTACCCTACAGAAAACATACCTTGACCAGTAGCACTAGTGTGCACCAGCCGTTTACTCATTTTGTACCAGTGTTTATCAATCATTAGCAGTGCTCAGGAGAAGGTAAGTGGCAGGAAGCTCTCGGTGCAGCAAATCTTTCCCCATCCTCCTCCAGCTGCTCACTTTCTGGTTATTCTTTTCTGCAAAGCTCTAATGCCTTTGTAGGACAATTCAGATGCAAAAAGCTGTTCTCCAGTAGCATGCCCATGGGTACCAGCTGCAGAACTTTGGTCTTTTACCGGCATCAGAGAAAATGTGGGTTTTCTTCTCCCTGTGTTACATAGCTTGATGTAATATGAACTGCAGTCCTTACTGGGCCTTTAAGAGCTGTGTTGGTATAACCATGGATACCAATAAGGATTTTATATATTTCTAAAGTATTTAAATATGTGTCCACATGAAAGCTAAATCAAGATTGCAATATATCCAGCTGAATGACAGAGGGCTTACAGTGCTTTTTGTTTTCTGCAGGTTGCTTTACTACCAAACAATGCTGCTGATCTTAGCAAGCAAATCACTGGTGAAAAAGTGCTTGCATCGAATGCATATATCCCTGGTCCTCCAGGGCAGCCTGGCCAACGAGGTCCTCCAGGTAAGGTACAAGACCAAAGAGATCCGAGTGTAAAACAGCGCCGTGAATAAAAATAAGCTTCAATCTTCCAGTGTGATAGGATTTCATGTGTTTCATACTTTGATTATTATTATTATATTTGTATCTGTACTTAATTTAAAAAAGAAAAATTGTCTGGTCATTATGGTCAGCCTCTGCCAACCGTCCACGTATTTTTTTGTATCTAGATTATGTTTGTCCTGTATGTATTACATTTCCCCTTCTCTCTGGGAAATCTCACCTGCCTCAGCTGTCATTTCCTCTTTTTTTAGCTCTGTCCTAAACATTCTCCATTTCCTTTACTGTCATTAGTAGTACAGAAAAGGTGCTGTTAGTTTGCAGGGGTTTGTGCCAACCATTTTATTTTTCCTCATCTGATTTTGGAAGTATTCATCTTTTGGTTTTATATTATGTCCCGGATTCAAAGGAATCTGAAAAGAAAAGTAAAACTCCACTCACACCTGCACTTTGCTTAGCTGTAGGTTGAAGCAATGAGAAAAGCACAGAGCTCCTAAAGGATTAACTTAAGCCAGACACTCTGCAACCTGAGGCCAGAGACGTGAAAAGATTCAACTCTGCTGAATGCAGATCTGATTTCAGGTTAGCAGTAAATCCAAGGAAAATGCTCTGGGTTTCAGGAACATTCTTAGGGAGAACTAGCTGATATTCCTTACCTTGTTTGATTTACTGTCTACTGAACTGATCCCCATTTATCCCCACTTTTGCAGTCTTGCTTTGTTTTTTGAGTCTTTATCTCATTTTCTTGGAGGATGAGTATCTTCAGTCTACAGTAGATCATAAGTGCAAGGACAATGTGGTTAGAGATTCTGCGTCAGGCTCTGAAGTGCGCAGTGCATCACCTTGCAGTCTGTCTAACGTAGGCCTGCTTCTGCATGTCTCCCATCTGGTTTCCCCATGACCTGAGCTGTCCAAGGTACTGTAGAATTATCTTTTCTGCTTGAAAATCATCTGTGCTGATCTCTTCCATGCAATTAACAAGAGTATTGCCGGGTCTTCAAGAGGAGTCGGAGAGGTTCATCATTGAACTTGCTTATACTCCTTCTGAAAATCCTTATCATAAATATTCCGTCCTGCT